TCTATGTGTTCTCTGTTTCTATTTTGCAAATATTTCATTGATGGTTAAGTTGATTGGATAACAGGAGCATTTATTGAAGATGACTACACAGCATCGTACAGAAATGGCCTTAAAACGTGGCAAGCCCACCCATATGGAGGAAGGTTGAAATAATATACTAACCGTTTTTCTATCTTTTAAGCATTCCGTAGATTCATATATTGCTGGAAGTTACTGAATACTGTATTTGGCGTGAAATATGCTGGTTGCTTGTCTGAATTAGCAACACATAGGGACATGTGCTTCTTTTTGTTTTAACAATTATGATCTGAGAATTATGATTTACAGATTGGCAAATTACGTAATGTGGTTCATCAATAAATTTTCCTATGTAAGGGAGAGAAAATATGTTCATTGACATTTTGAACTCAAGTCTTTAGCAATTACTACTTGTGCTGTGTGGATGAACACTTATATTACTTTTGACTTTCTGTTAGCCAATCTGGATATTGGAAATGGATATGGCGTGCCTGGCGGAGGTGCTTATTACATTCCTTCTATGAACAATAGTAAAACACCTGGTAAGAATTTAGATAGTGGTGAATCTGGAAAGGAGTCCACGGCTAACGATTTGCCTGAATATCTCAAGCAAAAGTTGAGAGCAAGAGGCATTCTGAAAGATAATCAAAATGCAGAAAATTATTCCACGCCAGAAAATGTAAGTGTGTTCTTCTTTCTCTGTGAATCCTGCCATATTGTCTACATTTATATTCCACATTTCATTTTCATTTTTTTGTATATGTATTTATCAAAATAGAGATCCGAAGCTCAGCCAACTCAGGTTGTAGCAGCAGGGAATCTACCCCCAGGATGGGTGAGTTGCCTTTCTCTTTTAAATGCTTTATGGAAATTTTATGTCACGTATTAGCAACTTCTAAGCAACTCTTTTAAATGCCTTTCTCGTTCGTCTCTTGTTAAACATATCTGCTACGTGTTTTGTGCTATATTTTCTGGCACTCATCATTCTGTTTCGGGCCAAAATCGCTTTGTAGATTGAAGCAGCTGATCCTGGAAGTGGTGCTGTGTTTTATTATAACTCGAGTTCAGGGACAAGTCAGTGGGAAAGACCTACGGAGGCAGCTCCAGTTTCTGCTGCTTCAACACCATCTCTTTCAGAAGATTGGATAGTCTCATTTGATGAAGCATCAGGTATAGCACGCTTGTAAGATTTTCATAAGATAAGTATGTAGTCAGCTGCTGTTCTGAATTTCAAATTTTTTGTTGTGTAATCTTATCTATAGGTGTAAATCATGTGTTCTATTTTCTGTAGTTATTTATTCTATGGAATGTCAAGTTTTGGTATTATTTATTCCTATTTAGGAAATGAGCATGTGGTTTATTATTTATTTTCCTAAATGTAGTTGTAGTCTCCTCTTGACATTAAAATATGAATCGGCAACATTTTTACAGATATCTATTGCCAATGTGAATTAGATAGAACACGTAAAACTCTACAGTCTTCTTTTTTTGAACTAGTCTTCTTTTATTACTTTCCACTTTCTTTCTCTTTTTCGAGATATTAGTTATTTTCTGCCTATGTGGGAAAGAAGGCATTAAACCTCCTCGGTATAAATGCATCCTTGGTGAAATAAATTTCTTCAATCATGTGTTCTGTTGGGTGGAAAATATAACTCCACCAGTGAGAATAATCTTTTTTGAGTTATTTTTTTATCCTCAGGTCAAAAGTATTATTACAACAAGAAAACCAATGTGTCACAATGGGATCATCCAGGCACACAACAGAAGTTCACTCCTCAGCATCATGAAAGAACAGTCTCTGCCAATGCAGCGGGTGGAAATTCAGTAAACCAATCGTCCAATTTCCCAAAATGCATGGGATGTGGTGGGTGGGGATTGGGTCTTGTGCAGTCTTGGGGCTATTGCAATCACTGCACTCGGTTTGTTTTTTATGTTTTGCTATCTATTTAGCACATTTTATGCCTTCATCCCTATGTTAATGTCAGAAATATTTGTATTTTTGTAAATTCACGAATAGCAACATTGTCACGAAGGTTAACTATGAGTAGATGTAGTTTCACCTTTCATTCCTTTATTATGACGAAAAATCAAGATGTAATTTGCTTAAAATACTAATCCACCTCTATTATTCAGAAAGTCTTCCCATAAACATACTTCTTTCTCCTTTCAGTTATTGTACTTGGAATCAGTCATAGTCAGTACACGTATCATGTAGCTAGGTTTGAGTATGTTAAAACTGTAGGTTCATTGGTCATAAATTCTTTTTGATTAAATTTGGAAATTTTACTATTTCAGTACATGTCAGGTTGAAGTTTCATAAGTTGGATAGGTAAGATAAATACAAAGATATTGCTCGTGATATGGGCACCTCAAAAGTCACACTTTAAGTTTGTTGTGTTGTTTTAGGCCTCTGAATAGTAATGGTTATTATTCCTGTTCGATAGTCACAAGTAATCTTGCCAAGTGACCTCACAGTAACTTCAGAATTTCTTCAGTAGACGTTAGAATTGTTTTTGTTTACTTGAATTTGTTATGCTGAAACTCGATTCGGCTATGCAGACTGCACAATCTTCCACAGAGTCAGTACTTGTCGGCCCCTGTAGAAAATCATACGCAAGCTGCTAAACAAGGAGAGTCGGACAAGAAATTCCCGAAGAACAGGTGATATGATTTTTCTTCTGATGGGTTTCAATAGGCGAGCAATAGCATAAATTATTAATTGTTTTGAGTTAAAATATGTTAATGTGCTATACAGGTCTGATACCAAGCCTCCACTCAGTAGAGGGTATAAGAAGGAAAATAAAAAACGTGCCTATAGTGAGGATGATGACTTGGACCCAATGGACCCAAGTTCTTATTCAGATGCTCCGCGTGGTGGTTGGTATGTTATTTATTCGTATCAAACACTGGACATAATAATCATTTTAGTACCTTTTTAGTAACAATAGAATTAGTCAATATAATTTATTATCTGTTATTTTCAGGGTCGTAGGCCTTAAAGGAGTACAGCCAAGAGCAGCTGATACCACTGCCACGGTTTGTTATCTGAAGATACCCTTTTATGATTATCGTTTAACTGCTTTAGTTTGCTCGGTTGTTCATTTGCAAGCCTACACGAGGATGTGCTTGTTACGAGTGTCCGTTTTCGGGATAAAAGAACTGTGAATAAGATATGAATAGAGTTGCCATGAATTTATAAAGAATCGAAGCTTAATGAACCTGGATTAATGTTTAAATGTGTTAGAGAAGGGAAAAAAATATTCAAGAATGTTGTTTTGGCCCATTACTATAAGGAAACAAAAAATAAAAAAATCTCATCTTCTTTGGATGTGTTAATCCTCTGCATCTCATCATTCATTGATTTCTTATTTCCTTTTTCTCTGCTGGCATTATTTTAATGTTTCGAAAATTCAAAATTTCAGGGCCCTCTGTTCCAGCAACGGCCGTACCCTTCACCTGGGGCAGTATTACGTAAAAATGCCGAAATTTCCACACAAAAGAAAAAACATGGCTCGAATTATGCTCCAATCTCCAAGAGAGGTGATGGAAGTGATGGTCTTGGTGATGCGGACTAAATACGACAACTTTTATATTTTGTGCAAATTTTCATACGAACATCCATTTTCTCGGAGAAAAATAGCACTAATCGCGATTATGTGTTCGTTCTAGTTTTCACCTTTCCGGAAAAGTTCAAGAGAGTGAATAAGCTGTTCTTGGGGAGGTAAAGGTTGAGATTATGATGATGATTCTTGCTTATGGTGAAGATACTTGTTTGGTCATGTCTGGTCAGGATTTGGATGTTCATAGTATTGTATTGTTAAAAAATGTTTCTACAAAATGTTTCATCTGTGAAATACTGATGTCTTTTTTTTTTTCTCTTTTTAATAATGTAATTTAACTTGTATGTAACAACTAATGGAAACACCAATTTTTTTCCCAATATAACTTTTTTTTTTTTCACACCACAAATGTCATCTAAATGCTATCATATTCCAATATATTTACTTGGGACTTATGGACTGACACTGAAAACCAAAATGAATTCAAAGTCATGTCTTACAATTTACATGGAAATGTCTTAACCTATATAAAATGAGAAAATCTTGCAGCATTCAAGTGTAAAGTAAATGTTTATGATTTCATTTTCTACATAACAAGTTGAATTTTCGCCCCACATTGGTGCTTCTTGTTTGGTCATCTAAAAGTTTCCAATCATATGTCAATTTATTAAATGAATTCAACTTAATAGTACAAAATATTATAAATACATGTTTGTATTTATAGCTCTTTACTTGAAATGGATGGTGACATTGAATTTTACTAAAACCTTAAGATTTATTTACTTGAAATGGAAGTATTATAATATTGTGGGGGTGTTAAAATTATCTTTCTTTTCTCCTTTCAACCAAATTCCCCCTTATTCTACTATGATTGGTCTTGGGTTAGACATGTAAGACATTTGATAGGATAAAAATGTATTTTTATTCACATAACATAATGAATCGATCTGTCTAACAAGTAACATTTAAATTGTCTCACAAAAAAAAATTGTGACCGTAAATCCAAAAGGTAAAAAAAGGCAAAAGTACAACAATTACCATGGGCAAAAATGTAAAATGAGGAACAACTCTATTTAAACGCACCAGCTAACCCTAAATCCTTTTCAACGATCCATTAGCCGTAAATGAGGCCACAGAGAGCTCGGGATTTTCTCCGAGGGCGGTTGCCCGTCTCCGTCGGCCGCTGATTTTTTTCCTCTGAAAAATCAACAGCCCTTTTGTTTTCCGACAAGGATAAACCAGGAAATTTAAATATATATATATAATAATAGCAATAATAATTACGTTCTTGAATTAAGTTATGGTCTCTTATGTTACGAGAGATCGAAAATCAGGTGGCGATTGGATAGTAAACTTTCGTTATTTTCGGATCTTGATGGATTTGGGGGTTAAAGTTCTGAGGCTGTGACGATACTTGATTGGGGCTAATGGATCGGGCAGAGAAAAACCCGACCCGTATCTTGGCGGGGCAGGCCGGACGGCGCTGTGGTCTGACCGCATCGCAACCGGTTACTGCAGCCATGGCGGCGTTGCCTTTTCTTTTGCATAATTTCTGAAACAGATCTGAGCCTCCATTTTTTGGTATTTTTAATTTTTATTTTTGAGCTTTTATTTTTTTCTTTTTGTTTTTTGGTTTTCTAAAATTTTTCTGTTTTTTTTAAATAATAATAATATGTTTTGTACAATAAATTATTATTGGGAGTATTTTTTTTGGGTGGAGTTTGAATTTTATGTAGAAAGATCCATTTGTTGATCTTTTTTTTTTTTCTTGAAATTAAGTAATTATTTTGGGCACATACAAATTTGGAGGACTATATTATATTATAGTATAACCTAATATTTTGACATGAATCAATTTGTAATAATTTGCCGACAATCTTGCTAAGTCTTCAACATAATTTGTCTGTTTGTTAAGTTCAGTAATCTGGCTCCGTTATGATAATTCATAATCGAGCAAAACTGCAATGTCGAGCACAAATTGGATTACAACTCACAAGCAATGACTAAACATGAATTCGTTGATAAACATGTAAAAAAATGGTGAAAACAATATATAACTATCCTTTTTATTGAGCAATTACATGGTTAACAGGTAGATATCAATCAAAAGAAAAAAAAATAAAATTCAATGTATCATAAGTAGATAATGAATAAGGAGCAAATTGATGCAAAAAAAAATAATGCAAAAACGCTATGACCTGAAGCAGTGTATTCATTGTTCTTCAAGTTGGAAAATTCCATTACCATCTCATGTTGTCATGCCTATTATACCATCTTCAGCCCTTATCTCTACTCTAGCGCGGATTTTGCTCTACTCTAGAATAGAGTGAAATATTCGTTTCCAGCCCTTATCTCTACATTTTACTCTACATCAAATATATTATTTTTTATTTATTTTAATTTCAAATAAATTGATTTTAATATTATATTATTTTTATTTGTGTATTTTATGATTTACGTTTGTTGTAAACTTCTAATTTGAATGAAATCTACTTATTTGAATGTGTAAAATTTTTATTCATTTGGTATTATTTTAGTATTAAAAAATCACAAAATAAAATTATAATACATCAATAAATAAAAAAACACAAAATTATTTAGCATAAAAAATACATTGCACAAAGTTATTGAACATAAAAATACATTTATTAATACACATTATACAAAAACTTATCATTAATATTATATTAAAAATACAAAAAAAGAGAAAAATCTGGCGCAAGTTATTTAAATAACTTATCACTATTTATTTTAAAGCTTTACTAGTGCGTGGTCCGTGCGATGCACGGGAAAACAATATTTTGATTGTATTATAAATTGAATAAATAAATAACATTAATCATGATTTATCCATTATTTTTAAATTAAACCGGGTTGGACACAGTCTGGCCGGATGGACAGAGAACTGGTTTATAAACAGTCTAGTGCGCTTGAATAAAATATTTGCTATCGAATCTTTCAACACCAGTCTGTTGGACTGGTAGGATCGATACGATTTTCTAAACAAATTTTGTTACATTAAAAATAATTTTAAATAAAATTACATATTTAAATAAAATTGAGATTTATAAATTGTATATCAATTAATTTAAACATTTGAATTTATAAATTGTTTAGATATTTAAGTAACACTTTTTATTTAAATTAATATATATATACATAAGTATATATTATGTATTAAAATTTGAACAACCACAAATGATTTAATAAAATAACTTGATTGTTTCGATGATGGTCCGGTTATGAAAACCTTATACTTACCGTACATTAATAAAAAAATATAATAAAATAATTATTTTGTTCACATAAATAATAATAAAATGATATATAAATATTCATAAATCATTAATCATGTTGTCATAAAAGTATTGTTAATATGATTATTTAAAATTTGGACTACATCACATTCACGTAATAAAGTATTTTCAATATGAAAATTTATATTTAGGTTCAATAATCGATTTGGTCTGGTCAAACTGATACATAACTTAGTTACCTGGGACCAACCAAGTTGTTTCAAAGTTTTTTGACTATTTTAAATATCACCTAAAAGTAATTCAATCAACGTGGGCAGTACCCTAATTCAATCACCCAATTGATCCAAAGTAATTTCCTTATTTTCTTTAAATATAATATTTAATTTTATGAAATAAAAAAAAATTATGATTCATATATCTACACCAAATTATAATATATTAAGATTGTAAATTATATATCTAAAGATGAATTATTTATTTTTATTTTATGCATATTAATAAAAAATAAACATAGTAATTTAAAAAGAAATCAAGATTAATTGATTGGATATGCAATTTAAAGAATATTTTTAATGTTCAATATATACATATATATATTTAACATGATTGAATTTTTGGATTAGGATATATATATTTAAAATGATTTTATTATTAAAAGTAAAAAAAAAAAGATGTCATAAAGATTACAATTTTGAAAAGTTTATAAACATTAACTTAGGAACCATCCAATTTTAAATGATTTTATAATTTTTGAAACAGGATACTTGCATCTAAAATCTATTAATTTAGGAACCATCCAATTTTTTATAATGAATTAAAATTAAAATGTAAAATAAAAAAATTGCTGAAAATAGTATATAATGAATGTGGTTTGACTTTTCTTACTATTATTTATGGTAAATGTTAATTCTTATTATATATATATAGATTAAAATAACATTTATACCATTTCATTTTTTACTTGGACAACGTCAAAATAATTCATAAGTGTACAAATAAAAAAATTATATTTCAAAAATTTTGGAATTAAGGGATTTCAACAATTACCATGGACAAACATATAAAAGGAGGAACAATTCTATATAAACCCATCGTCTATACTCAAACCCTTTTCAACGATCCATTAGCCGTAAAAATGAGGCCACAGAGAGATCGGGATTTTCTCAAGGGCAGTTGCCCATCTCCGTCGGCCGGTGATCTTTTTCCTCTGAAAAATCAACAGCCTTTTTGTTTTCCGACAAGGATAAACCAGGAAAAATAAATAAATAAATATAATAATAACAATAATAATTACGTTCTTGGATGAAGTTCTGGTCGAAAATCAAATGTCGATTTTTTTTTTCTTTTTTTCGAAACGATAGAATAATCAGGTGGCGATTGGATAGTGAATTTCTGTTATCTTCGGATCTTGATGGATTGGGAGTTAGGGTTTTCTGAGGCCGTGACGATACTTGATCGGGGATAATGGATCGGGCAGAGAAAAATCCGACCCGTATCTTGGCGGGGCAGGCCGGACGGCGTTGTGGTCTGACCACATTGCAACCGGTTGTTGTTGCAGCCATGGCGGTGTTGCTTTTTCTTTTGCATAATTTCTAAACAGATCTGAGCCTCCATTTTTTGGTTTTTCTTTTTAACTTTTTTTTTTCTTTCTTTTTTTGATTTTCAATTTTTTTCTGTTTTTNCGGAACCGGTCCGGGTGGAGTATTTGGACCGGGCAACCAAGGACCCGGTCAAAACCCGGCCGACCCGACAGAGACCCGGCCGACCCGGGGCATTGACCCGGCCGGGTCAACCTGGTTGAAACGGTCCATATATATTTTTTATATTTTTTTTTTTGTTTTTTTTAAAATAAAAATATGTATATATGTTTATATGGTAAATATTTATCATGAGATACATATTATTAACACTTTAATATACAAATTTTATACACAAAACATTTAATTTTGTTACTTTTATCTATATTTATATAACAAAAATACTCTATATATAATTTTAAAAATTTTAAAATTAATTATCCGGTTCAACAATTGACCCGGTGACCCGACGGTTGAATCGGTGACCCGTGGACCTGCCCGGGTTGATCACCGGACCGGGTTTAAAAAATATGATATAAACTAATATTTTGACATGGATCAATTTGTAAATAATCGATCTTGCTGAGTCTTTAACATGATTTGTGGATTTTTAAGGATGCAAAAAGCAATGGTCAAGGAGTGAAGGACTTGGTACTTCCACACGAGAAGACTTGCCCCTACAAAATAAATTCTTCAACAAAATAACAAGAACCAATAAAAATAATAATACTGATAATAATAATAATGCTGTAAAAATAATAAAATAATTTTNCCCGACAAGCTTTATATAGTTGATGACGATCCTAATCGAGCAAAACTGCAATGTCGAGCACAAATTGGGTCACAACTCACAAGCAATGACTAAACATGAATTAGTTGATAAACATGTAAAAAAAATGGTGAAAACAATATAGCCATCATTTTTATTGAGCTAACTACATGGTTAACAGGTAGATACCAATCAAAATAAAACAAAAATCAATGTATCATAGTTAGATAGTAAATAAGGAGCAAATTAATCCCAAAAGGCAAATTTATGAAGCATTGCATTCATTTTCCTTATAAAAGTTGGAAAATCCCATTACCATCTCATGTTGTCATGCCTATTTAGACTTCATTTCACCAAAGCCTCCCTTGACATATTTTGCCTATTAGCTTTATTAATGGCTATCTTTATAAACTCAAATCACTCAACATTATATTTGACAAATATATATTTTCACTTTATTTCATTCAACATATACCACAAATCCTAACCAAATAAAAAATTAAACACTCATTAAATTCTTAAATTTCAAATTGAGTTTTTATTATTTTGACAAATAGGAGAAAAGGACTCTGGAAAATTCTCAATACTTTTAGAGTTAACTTAATGTTATTTTGATTTGTAGGATTGTTAAAGTAATCAAAATCAAAAGTCAGCTAGTTCATTGTTATGTTACGATATAATTATTTAAATGATAATATAATGAAGTTGTAAATAATTTAAGGGGCACATAAGCAAAAGGATAACTGTTAGAATAAAAGTGAGCAATAGAATGGTTGAAGACACAATTGGCTTAAAGTTGATGCATCATCGTCTCAAATGTGCTTGAAGAGACAATTGAATATACCTGTATGTACATGAAAAGTAAAAAAGAAAATCTACAATAAGCTATAACCTGTTCTCTTGTTTTATGAAGCATGGTGAGATATGTTATCTTGATTTTTAATTTATTATATAAGCTATAACCTGTTNTCACTTTTGAAGTCACGTTTTAACATGTGTAAATAAAATACAAGTGCTACTAATGCAAGTATTAATTATTTTTCCTTTTTACTATTTGTTTTAAAGCTTTAATAATAAAATTATATTTATTCCATTTCATTTTTTATTATTTGGACATCATCAAAATAATTCACCCTATTTGCAGCTATTTGGGATTGAACCCGGGTCAGCAAGCAGCCTCAGTCGCCAAGCACGCGCATTGGCTATCGCAAGAGCTGCACCATATTATCGTGTTCGGAGCCGCACTCAAGCACAACTAAAATATCTAATTTCCACCCTATCCGTTGCCCAAATTCCAATTCCCACCACCGGCGCCCAAATTCCAATTCCCACCACCGGCGCAACCATGATCACCGCCGCCGCCTCTTTCCTCCTCACACCGCATTTCCCCGTAATTCCTCGCGCCGCCCGCCCGGTTTCAACGCCGAAGCCAAAAAGTTTCCGGTGTCTGAGCTTTTCCCGGCCAGTATCTTCGAGACGCGACTTCCGGGCCTGGGCCGACGACGGAGATGCAGACGGAGATGGTCCGGATGACTACGAAATTTACGGGGACGAGATTGATGATAAGAATGACTTCGACATCGACTACGACACCGGCACTTCGCTCGTCGCCGCCGATGGCGGCGATGGCAGCATTCCCTTGGTGCACAGCAGCAGCTTCGTGTCGACTCAGGGTTGGGAATCCGAGAAAATCGTGGATTACAGGATAAACGAGGACGAATTCCATAAGATTTGTCTGCTGGATTGTGATTTTTTCATCCGGAAGCCGCCTGACCCGGACAACGACGTGTACGATTTTAGGGAGGTATGGTTTTGAAACCATTTTTTCCCCTTAGTCGAGCTTCTGATTGTTTCTCTTGCTGGAGTTGCTGTATGTTTCCATAAGAAAGTTTACAGCTTGGTAGCATTTTGTCCATTGCAAATGGAGCTGGAAGAGTTAGACAATTCTCCTGGCATAGTGCTAATAATGGACTAGATCAAAATGGCTCAATTAAATTCTAGTGCTTCTTCTATTAGTGAAGTTTCTAGAAAAAAAAATATATCAAACGGCGCAATGCACCTTGGGTCACTACGGAAACAACCTCCTTGTATAATTACAAGGGTAAGGTCTGCGTACAACTGACCCCCAGACCCCAACCTATTGGGAATATACTGGGTATGTTGTTGTTGTTGTTGTTGTTGATGATGATTGATGAGTAGTGCTTATGTGCTTGCCCTGATTTATCTGCTTCATTTGTGAATTTGAGGGACCGGTAGTGCAGCTTAGTTTGACCGAATCGGACATTGTATAAGGATAGAGATAATTCTATAATTCGGAAAACATGCTTACACCATACACGAACTTTCGCCAGTTCCAAAACTCGAGCCTAAACCATATATCATAATAGTTATAGCTGTATCATGTTTCTTTAACTTTTATGATAATGAATCATGTTGTTTTTTGTGGGTTCTGCGTGTAGATGTATGTAACGCCTCCAGACACTGATGTGTACGCTATTCCGAAGGTTCTTGCGCCTATGCCTCAGAAAGTAAGCCATTTACATTTAACATTTTATACTTCTTGATTAACATCCATTGTTCGGATAGCTTTCCTTTATGTAATAATGATGTACTCTGTGTATGCGCTTGCTCTATTTTTTTCCATTTTCATTAAATGTTAATGCCTTTGTCGGATGTGCAGTATATTCGGTGTGCGCAGCGTGATTATGGTCGGTACAATGTAACAGAGCCTCCAGTTGACGCACTCAGAGATCCCTTGTACAAATCAGAGAGACAAATATTTAAGGTTTGGGCAAAGCAAATGCCGTTCAGCTCTTTTTGGTTATTTTGATGTTTTAAATTGCTGCGTGGGAACATTAATTGCAGTTTCAGCATCATTTACTTCGAAAAAAAGTTTATTTTTTATCTTTTCCTTAAAACTTTGTTCTTGCAATGGTATGTTGGATTTTTTAGCTAGATTTACTTGAGTTTTCCAAACTGCCTGGCGATGCTGCCCCTTCTTTTCGAGCTAGTAATCTGAGCATGCACAAATATATGTGCTCTATTCTTAAGTTGTGGTATTGATATTGTAAAATTATGGATTTAAGTTTAACAAACCGTTGATCCGGGACGCACTGGAAAACTGTTACAGTCTTATCCAAAAGTCGAGCAGTTTTCCACTGAATAGTTTTCAGTATGTTACCATGAATGGGGTGGATTGGGTGCTTTTCTGATGTGTGATTTGGCGATAAGTTTTGAATTTGGCATTGTTTTCTTGGTCTTTTGAAAATCATGTCATCTTGGTGACAGGTTTTCCTGAAAAAACATTACAAGAATCGCCGGGTGCGAGATCCGGATTTTGTGCTGGATTTTGAGGAAATTTATGTAATTGATTCGAAAACAAAATCAATCACGAGGGCGAAAGTTGTGGTATGCACTTTTCGTCTTACTAAACATTTATATTTGTATTCTNAAAAAAAATCAACTATTATGTTCTCGATAGTGTCCTTTCTCCAATCAGCTGGCTCATTATCTCTTTTACTTTCTTTGCAGGAACAAAGAGATGACCCAACTACGGTCATCCAGAAGGAAGAGTGGAACAAAAGTAGGGAAGATATGGAAAAGCATCTCAGGAAGCTTCGTGATTTCGATGTCTCGAATTGGTTTTAATTTCATTCTGTCAAAATAGAAGCAGATTGACGATATGAACACACGGGCTTTGGTTAAATCCTTTTGTTCTGATCAAGTTCAGATGGAAGTCGAAGTTATGGGCATTTTACATATCATAATCCGGCGAAACGATTGGTTTAGTCTCTCGGGCATAATCTTTTTTCGATAATCCATCTGGTTTTGTATCGTAAATTGAGTACTCGGATTATTTTGAGGTTTGATGAGACTGCATGCTATGAAGAGTGAGAAAAATGCCACTTATTGTTACTGTGTTGAGAATATTCATGTAGTATCCTTGAAGAGATGCTATATTTCTCATTTGGAGAGTGGAAAAGCAATTGAAAAATTCTCAGGCACACTTATGTAGTTTAGGCAATGTTGTACCTTTTAAGCTAGCCATTTTTTTAACATTTAATGTATGTTTTGTTGTTATTTTCTTTTTGAGTACCTTCTTACATGCATCTGCCAACTTTTAGTATATTCGGATTAATTTGTTGAAAAGTATGGATATTGCATTATTTTTTACATGCTGCGCTATTTATTTAATGCTGAATCAAGTTATATCTTGTTTCTTCTTTCTTTCTACCTTGAAGCGAAAAGAGGTCCTAGATCATAGGGTAGAGGTGTAAACTGAGTTGTACTGCAACTTGAGCTGTTGATACTCGAGCTTTTATAAACAAATTTGAAGTCGACTCATTTATTAATATTAACGAGCAAAGTTTGAACATTTATGAGAAGCAAGCCTGAGTCTTAGTGAGTCAAATTATAAAAAATTACATAAAAAATCTATTTTCAAGCTTTATGTTCGGTCAATTAATCAAACAAATTTAAAACGAACTTGAAAATGTTTATAAATAAGTTGAGCCAAGTTCAAAAGTATATGTAAATAACAACAATTCAAAATTTCTTATTATATAAATGAACCGAGCTGTAATTATCTTGTGCGTGTAAATAACAACAATTCAAATATCCCGTTTTATTATTGTCAAAAAAAGGAAAAAGAATCATAACAACAATTCAAAAATCCCCTTTTGTTCTTTGTCCAAAAATAGAAAAAAGGAACACTTTTGTTAAACTTTTTTTATTTTCTTTCTAGAAGTCAAAAGAGGACCAACTTTCAAAAGGAAAAGCCTAAACATATAGTGGGTGGGGAGCGGTGAAACGGTAAAAGACAATCCATTGATTCACGTAAATTTCCATAATACCCTCTCACCCCGCAACGTTTCAAGGCTCGGTCCATGTCAACGAAAGTGTTGGACGCCGTGCATCCAGAGTTGTACCTCCTCTGTGTTTTTCGCTGTCAACAGAATAGATATAGNTTTCTCTCCCTCGAAACTTTTCTTCTCCCTCAAAGGCTCAAACCAACCGTTAAACTTTCACCGACGAGAAATCGTTTCTCTAACGAGAAAACGCGATACTATAAGCGCAGCGAGGCGTAGAAACAATCATACAGGTGTCGTATGCATAGGTATGTGTTTGCGTGTTTGTTTTGTTGGATGATTGAATGAAAAAAATTCCTTGTTTGGTGTTCGACGCATTTGTTGATCTCCCTACAGGTTTGATTCATCGATTTATATGCGGCGTGTTGTTGATTTTTGATTTGCGGGTCTGTGTGGTTCGACATTGGCATTTTCAGCTTCTTAATTGGGGTTTTGATTTTGCTTCAGTTAGGGTTTTTGAGGCGCTGTTTCGTAAGGGTTAGTGTTGAGGATTAAAGATTTGAACCTCTCTTTGTAATTTTCGGATTTGTGTTTAGTCTATGCTGGAATGCTTGCAATCATGATGATAGACAATGTAATAGTGTTTAGGCCTGCTATTTTTAGTTCAATCATGTTTATCAGAAGTGCAAGCGTGTAAAGGTCCGAGTTCCTACTTGGGTCAATTAATTTCCTTCGTTTAGTTATTGAATGATTTCGAAATAATGTGTGTGTGGTGTTACATTAGTTTGTTTATTTTCCTTCTTTAGTTATTGAATGATTTCGAAAGAATGTGTATGTGGTGTTACACTAGTTTGTTTTTTCATTTCGTTCAGTGCTTTCTGTGTTGTGACACACATCGCCGATGGAGTTTTAAAGGGGGCTATTTATTTGATTAGTTATGGAAATTTCAAAAAATCAATTGTTATCTAGCCTTGTTATGTAATAACTTTTGGCACTAGTCTGCTGACTCTGCTTGGCTAATAGAATTCTATGGCCTTTGAGTCTATTTCTCTTACAGAGTTGTTGGATATTGTTTCAATAACATCAGGATCAGACGCTCAGTTACCTGTGCATAATAGCTTGGTTGGAAGACAATTTATGAATTGATTACGTGTTTGCATAAGTTCTGCATTAATGTATGTTGTGCTAAACTTTGTTCATATAAATTGGTGATTTGTTATGACGTGGTAGTTTTACCGTGTTACAGTTTACATGCATTGATAGTAGTGAAATAGTGTGCCTGGTAGTTTTATTAGGTTGCAATCTTCACCATTGTGAGATTTTGTCTTTCTCACTTTCATTTACTTGCTGATTATATCTTTTGGCAGGTCTTTTGGCATGTTCTGCAGTCAATCCAGGGAAAGAAATGTTCTATAGGTTGCACGATTAATGCTGCTGAGGTTTTTCTTCATGTCTAAAGAGTCTCATTGAACTGGATAAATATGTTTATTGAGGCATCAGTTGGTGAAAATGCTGATGAAATCAAGGAAGAGTTACCTGGGATTGATCTCGATCTTGACATGGGAAAATTATGCTTTTCTCCAGTTCCTTGTCAATCCTCTTGTGTGAGAGCTGATGAATCGTCTGCAGCAATAGTCACATCAGATGTTTCAGTGTCTGATATTCTTATTCCATCTCTTGATTCCATCAAATTTGCTGAGCTTCCGGAATCAGAAAATGGCATAGCCAATGACACCATTACAGCTGATGTCTGTGGTTCCATTTGGGAAGCTGACCGGCCTGAACAGAGTACTGATGTGGGAAAAGATGCTAGTGTATCAAATTCTCCTGATTTTCCCAGGACTGAGGATCGGTCTAGAGATAGGGATGGTAAAGCTGACGTTCTCAATGACATTGACAAACACCAAAAACCAAATCATCCCCTAATTGTATATAGATCTTCTCGGAGGAAGAGTTTTTGCAATACCAACGACAAAGTAAATCAGAAATCTGAGATCCGAAATGAATCAATGAGTTTTAGGAAGATAGAAAAAAATAACTCAGCATTAGATTTAAATTCCTTGAAAATATCCCGGAGGAGGAGGAGTTTATTTACCAAGCGCGATCGATCTTCTGTTTGGGGACTGCTTGGGAATACGTTTCCAGATTTTGAAGAAAATTGTGGTAATGGCCCTAATGTTGGTAGTGAAAAAAATCTAAGAATAGTACAAAATGCTCAATGTAAGAAGAGTGCTGACTCAGCAAAAGAAAGTAAAAAATCAGTCCGGGATAGCTGTCCTCCGACTGGTCGCATCACTTTAAAGATTAAAATTGGGAACCAAAGCTGTGGCGTGATTCATGTTAGTGAAGACTTGAATGGTTCAGAGACAAGTGCTCCTGGTTTAGCAAAGATTGTCGACCATGAGGAGGTAGATAAATTGATAGCTTCCACTGAAAATAGGTGTTCAGATACAGGAACTTCACCAGATTCTGAAGTTATAAGCTCTGTTCTGGATGCTACACCTTTTGAAAAAGGTCTAAACAAGCAAGATGCTTCAACTATTCCAGTGGAGAGAATAAACCAGGAATGTCTTACAAACTCTGTTCCTGATGTTCCTGTTGTGGATGGTTCAAGTCTGATATTCCTTCGAAAGAAATCCCGAAAAGGAAAGAAGAACGATAAGTCTGGTAATCGCATCATTGGAAGCATGCTGACTGGTGCCAAAACCACATCCACAAGTCGCGCTAAAGCACCCGTACATCCTGAATTGTCTTATTGTAATGACGCCTCCACAACTTTTACTGCAAAAACATACTCGAATACCCATAGCAGCAACGAAGGTCCAAAGGGTTCCTCATGCTGTTCAAGGATGACCGACTCAAGAACTCTTATTACATCCGAAGTTTGTACTAGTGCCAAAGCGAATACTTCTTATCAGCATGTTGCTCTAATTGAATCCTCAAGTCTACAGTCTGGTGACAATCTGGTTCCTTGCAGCAATGGGAAAAAAAATTCTAAATGTTCCAAGGAAAAGGGACAGTGCAAGAGCAAGTCTGAAACCTCAGATAAGACCAGCAAGAAAGAGAAAGCTTCCAAAAAGAAAGGTGATAAGAAAAAATTAGCAAGAAGGCATGAAGTTGAATGGAAGAATGACTCTAACAGAGACCTCAGTGGATTGGATATCCATCTGGTGCCAGGTACTATTTTTCTTTTTGATTCAATGTGTGTGAATAGTGCCACTCCACCCATTTCTTGTAATCCATTCCCAAAGAAAAAAAGAATGTAATAGGAAAGAACGTACAAACTGAATGAAAATATAATTATCTTATGTCGTTCTCCGGGTCCACTGTCTCATATCTTATCGATGTAACATCTGAAACTTCTAAAGGAACTTATCCCAAAATTATGATAATTTCTATAGGAAATCAAACATTATCTGAACTTGGAGAAACCAGATACCTGAGCAAGGGTGCAAATGGATCACCAAACAGCTTGCAATTTATTTCTAGTGAGCTCAAGGAACAATATGCTCCTCCAAGGAATGCGTGGGTGCTTTGTGATGAGTGCCAAAAATGGCGGAGGATACCTGCTACACTTGCTGATCAAATTGAAGCAACAAACAGTGGATGGTAAACAATGAGTGCAGCATTAGACTTTGATCTGATTTCTCTGCATGTTTTCCTATCTTTTTCTGTTTGATCTGGTTGATTTGTCTTTGTAAACTCGTGACACATATAGCTTTTAGGCTTGTAGTTAGGTGGTAGGCATTGCTTTTATCTGATGATTTGCAAGACGGCTAGGATTATCAAACATGAAGAGCATCTTACTATAAAGATTCACTCCTTTTGAACTTGGTGAAT